TGAAAACCCATTCTGACATAGTCAAGATAGTTTGAATAACAAGAATAGTTTGATTGAATCCTGACCTGGCCAATTTAATAAAACAATATTTAATGGGACAAAACTAGATCATAATCTGGAGCCTAACTGAAGCAAATAAAACACTATCACTCAAGGTCTCTGGGATCTAAACTGAATGAGAGAGAACCCTATGGATGAGATTTATCAAGGCAAAAACAGATGTGATTCTCGGGGCAAAGTGCTAAATAAAGTCTAATCAACATGGAAATAAAGAGACCGTATCTCAACATTTAGCACTTTGCACCCAAAATAGCACCTGCTTTGCCTTAATAAATCTACCCCTATAACTCCCAATCTCTTGGAGTTACAGCGAGAGGTTAGAACACAATAGTTTTTGGAGGCCGCTTCATTTTGCCTTTTAGCAAATAAACCATCGATGACACCATAGAGCAAAACCAGCACATGTCGATACTCTGCATGTTGTTAGCGTCATTGTTGGAATGTTGCTGCATTTAAAAGAATCTGTGGCTGTAGCAAGGTACTGTCTTGAGGCTTAAAAGAAAGAGAATGTGTTTATAAATTATATAAATAAATAAAAAATTATGTTTTGATTGAGTGAGTGAAAAAAACACCTTTTCTAATTCTTTGTTTTTTTTCCTATAACTTTACTGTTTCCCGCACTGTCCTGCCAAATAGGAAGTGTTTTGTTTTGTTGTACATTGTATTGTATTTCGACAAGGTCCTTATACATTTTTATCTAATTCGCCTCAACAAAGCTTATCAAGTTTAAAAAGAAACCTACTTATCTGAAATGAAAAAAAGTTTTACTTGTTTAAAGATATTTCATATTTGTCTAAGTGTGTGTTGTGGTGTGTGTATATATATTTATTCCCTTGCAAGCCATGGCAGCACTTGAGAAATAATCTCAATGTCATTGTCATACAGTTTACATAAATAGACTTATGGATAAGAATTTCCTTATACAGCATCTTTCACACTTTAAATACTGACAGATTCTCAGAATATTATATTCATGTGAAAATTTTAATTTTACTTTGTATTTATTTTATTTCATGCCTTAAAGGAGCACTGTAGGGTCAGGAACACAAACATATATTGCTGACCCTATAGTGTTAAAAACACCATCAAGCCCCCCTGACTCCGCTTGCCCTCCTACTAAATATAGTATAATCTTACCTTTACTCCAGTCAGCTGCTGTTGGCTCTGCCCCTGATCTGCCTGATTGGCTGACATAATCAGAAGTGTTGCTCAATACCAATCACAGTGCATTCTCATATGAAAGCATTGGATTGGCCAAAACTGTCAAGGAGGAAGATCAGGGGCAGAGCCAGCACAAGCCAAACAGCATATCCTTATAGAGATGAATTAAATCTATGCATATCTATGAGGAAAGTTCAGTGTCTCCATGGAGAGGGTGGAAACACTGAATGGCAGTGCTGTGGCTGTTCTGGTGACTATAGTGTTCCTTTTAAATAGAACATTTGCTCTCATGTTTGCAAAATGTCTTTGGTGCAGACATGGGTGTGTTAACATTCGTTTGTGCTGTCAGGCTTTTATCTGTAAAGACTTTTTGATACTTTTTCACAATTGTTGGGATCCAGGAGAATTAAAGGAAGTTATTTTGCCTGGAGGTCCTACGCATCTTATCACTTATGGCCTGTCTTTTTTTTTCTTTAGTTTAAAAATCAGTACTGTATAGTAAAGTTAAAATTTATCTTTAATCCAGCACTGGCCCAGGGTCTCCAAAAGGCCTACTCCAACATCACGTTGTTTCACCAATTCCACGCCCGATTTCCAATCAAATGCTTCTCGTAGAGACATTGTTGAATCTTGGACACGTGCTGCAAGCCAGCAACCAACGTCTTCTGATAGAGAAGCATTGAGTCCAAGTGAGTCATCTCACCTCTAGAGCCCGGCCACCTCCATGTCCAAGAGTGCTGCACAGAGTGTAGGGATGGAGAAAAGGGAGTAGAAGAAACAGAAAGGGGAGAATGTAACAAAAAGCCAGTTATTTTGACTGTCTGCATGCACACTGTCCCACAGGTTTCTTCTTGCAGGTGTGCTCACTGCACTGCCTGCAAGAGAAGAAGCTCATTACATCCTTCGCTAGCACACACTGTGTGCTGATGCATAGTAATTGGTCTAGTCCTATTGTTTTGGTGCCCAAGCCAAATAGTTTCACTCAGTTCTGACTGACTTTAGAAGCCTGAATGAAGTTAGTAAATTAATGCTTATGCTTTGGATTTGACTAAAGGATATTGGCAGATACCTCTAACAGTGTGCCAAAGAGAAATCTGACTTTGCTGTTCCAGGTGGCTTGTTTCAATATATGGTGACTCCCATTGGCCTTCATGGAGCTTCAGCCACTTTTCAGCGACTGACTTAATAGTTGCTCAGACCTTATCCCAGTATGCAGCAGTATAACTTGATGATATCATAATTCACAGCACAGGCTGGGACTCACATCTGCAGAAGGTAGAGGCTGTGTTGGTTACCTTCAGAAAGGCTGAGCGAACAACTAATCCTTCTAAGCGTTTTTATTGGTTTGGCAGAGGGCAAGAAGCAGAGTTACATTTTTGGGAGAGGGTTAATGAAACCCCAGCTTAACAAAGTAGGAGCCATACAGAATTGGCCTCAGCAAATTAAAAAGAAGCAGGTTAGAGCATTTCTGGATTGTTGGCTATTACAGACTGTTTATAACACATTTTGTGACTGGAACTTTTCCCGTCACAGACCTCATTAAAGCAAGACGTCTAGACATTTTGTGGTGAGACAGTAATGCGGAGAAGTATTTTGCAGAACTTAATTCTGCTTTGTGTAACCAACCTATGCTTGTGGCACCTGGCTTCAAGAAATATATTTTTATTGCAGACTGATGCCTTTGAGGTGGGGGTGGAGGCTGTGCTTTCGCAGTGCATAGATGAAAGGAACATCCAGTGTTATACTTAAGCTGCATATTTTTGCCGTGGAAGCAGCGTTATGCTATAATCGAGAAGGAGAGCTTAGGGAACAGGTGGGCTACAGAGACTCTTAAATATTATTTTCTGAGTAGGCACTTTACCCTTGTCACTGACTATGCTCCCTTGCGCCGGATGCACACCAACAGGGCCAAAAACTAAACGATTCTGAGATGGTTTTTGTCCTTGCAGCCATTTTAGTTTTTAGTGCAACAATGGTCTTGTTTACTCCATGGTAATGCATATACATTGCCTCATATCCATGGACTCTCTGCCACGGTCACTTCACACCCTAGTGTTGCGCTAGGGAGGGGGATGTGTAACAGGGTCACTGAGGGCAAGTTAATTAAGGGAAGTACATATGGAAAGTGCAATTTTTCACTGATTCTAGGTGTAGTAGCTTCTGCTGCTACTTAATTACCACTGCCTAGCCCTATTTAGCTTGCTGATATTAGACTGCTGATCACAGACACAGAAAGAGTGTGAAACATTGTGCTGTTTAATTATTATTTATTGTTTTGTGACTGGGAATTAGCTTAGCTGACCAGAACTGTTAGAAAGGAAATACCTCTGTTTAGTTGGGTTTTTGTTTGCTTTGATTTATATCTTATGGGAAAGAATGTTAAAAACTGTTTCCATTTGAACTGTTCAGTTTGGGAAAAACTGTTCCCTTTTCTACGTGTGAATAACGTGGACAAGAAGGTTGCTATATGTTTGTCTACACTATCCATTTTATATATGCATGACAATAGGTTTTCCTAAATTGCTTGGGGAGAGGGTAAGTGGAGAGAGTCACTTGAAATACATAAACAGTCTTCAAGTGGGACAAAAAGAGGAAAGGGGTACTAAGTGAGAGGGGGGCACTTGCCCCTCCATGGATTTTTCAACTTGCCTCATCCCCACAGGCAGTGCCGGACAGGCCGACCAGAATACCGCAGCACCTGGGGCCAGCAGGAAGCCCTAATGTGCCTTTTAAATAATTTCCCCTTGCACTGTGACAGCTTGTGTCAGTCCGATGGAAAGAAGGAGGGAGGTGCTGAGGGCTGGTGCGGCCATATTTAGGCTGCCAGGGGGCTGGAGGGAGCGCTGTGAGGCTCCCTCCCTAACCCCCTGCAAGTCTATGCCTCAATGCTCCCCCTACCGCATGCAAGTATCGTCACCCAACACAAGCCTGTATACCTTGTATATTGAGGCATGCTGTGTAGTATATAAGCAGGACTTCGGATAGACAGAGGATTACACGGAAGAGACTTACCTAGCTGAGGAAGTCGGTATATAAGCAGGACTTTGGATAGACGGAGGATTACACGGAAGAGACTTACCTAGCTAAGGAAGCCGAAGGGAGTTTGGCGAAACGCGTCCTGGGAACTCTACATATCACCTTTATGCCCTTATTGATAGCATTTCAAGTTTGTTTACTTATTTTTTATTATATTGTTTTTATTTGTTTTTGTTGATTTTCTAATTGGCCATTAGAATTTTAATGAGATCACCAATAAAGGTTTTTTTAATATACTATGGGCTATTGGTTCCTGCATATGGGAGTGTAGTCCTGAACTACACAACGTGCTGTGACACAGTCGATTTGGGGCTCCATCCTTGTAAATATATATTAATACCACTGGATTTTGGATTGGATTACTTGTTTCAGAATATACTGCACCATATATACTTTACGGTTTAGCTCAAATCCATATCGTGCAAGACCACCTGACTTGAAGAAGGGGAAGGTTGCCTTTGCGAACCTGTGAGCTTTCTATCCCTGAGCTTGGTTCTAAGCTCAAGAGAATGTGAGTGTTTCCTTTTAATATACATATGGACTTTAATATATGACAGTACCACACTATTGGAGTTTAAATTTATTTTTTAGGTACATCTCAGATAGAATATATCAGCTTTTGTGTGAATACTTTTGGGTTTATGTGGTTGGTGTAAGAGGAAAGACTTAACTGGGTGTTACAGCAGCTATTGTGTATATATACCATTATTATTATTTATTATACATTTAGCGCCAGTATATATTTTCTTGTTTTTGTATGTCTGTGTGTCAGTGAGTTTTGTAGTGAGCTTGCGTGTGTGTCAGTGAGCTTTTCTGTAGGTGTGTCACTGAGCTTATGTGTAAGCAAGCTTTTCTGTAGTCTTTAGTGAATAAGGGTGTCAGTGAGCATGTCTGTAAGTGGGCATGTGTGTTTTCAGTGAGTGTGTCTAGTGAGCATGAGTATATTTGTCAGTAAGCTTGTCTGTAAGTGAGCTTGTGTGTGTTGGTGAGCATGTGTGTCAGTGAGCTTTTCTGTAGTGAGCATGTGTGTCAGTGAGCTTTTCTGTAGTGACCATATGTGTGTCAGTGAGCTAGTCTGTAGTAAGCATGTGTATGTGTGTCAGTGAGCTAGTCTGTAGTAAGCATGTGTATGTGTGTCAGTGAGCTAGTCTGTAGTAAGTATGTGTGTCAGTGAGCTAGTCTGTAGTAAGCATGTGTATGTGTGTCAGTGAGCTAGTCTGTAGTAAGCATGTGTATGTGTGTCAGTGAGCTAGTCTGTAGTAAGCATGTGTATGTGTGTCAGTGAGCTAGTCTGTAGTAAGCATGTGTATGTGTGTCAGTGAGCTTGTCTGTAGTGAGGATATTGGTGTGTCTGTGAGCTTGTCTGTAGGGAGCACGTGTGTGTGTCAGTAAACTTGGCTCTAGTGAGCAAATGTGTCTGTGACAGTAAGCTTGTCTGTAGTGAGTTTGTATACCAATGAATTTGTCTTTGAGTGTCAGAGTGTGTACTAAGTTTGTGTATGTACCAGTAAGCTTGTCTTTGAGTGTCAGTGAGCTTATTCGTGTGTATCAGTGAGCTTGTGTTTTTATGTCAATGAGCTTATGTGTTTCAATAAGATTGACTGTGAGCTGTGTATCAATGAGCTTGTCAGTGAGATTGTCTGTATGTGAGTATACTTATTGTATAATTAATTTTTTTACACTAACAGAACCCATATTTTGAATTAGAAAAAGAAACATACCAATTATATATATATTTATTTATATACATACACACAAATATTATTTATATATAAAATATATATATTCTCTCTCTCTCTCTCTCTCTCTCTCTCTCTCTCTCTCTCTCTCTCTCTCTCTCTCTCTCTCTCTCTCCTACCTACCTACCTACCTACCTACCTACCTACCTACCTACCTACCTACCTACTCCGGCCTTGCAAAAAGGGGCCGAGCATGGATGTCATTATAATTATGCCCCACTCCCTCCCCCCTGGAAAAATTCCTGTGGACTCCCATCATGATACTTAATAAAAGATATTTAAATAAATAAAAAGGAAAGAAAGGCAGGCCTAGGCCAAGAATTAGACTTGAATGCATGAGCATCTCATGAGCCTATTAATGTCAAACAAAAATAAAAGTTATGGTAAAAACTCATATATGAATCAACAGATTAACTATGCACCAAAGATTACACTTGCACTGCACAAGTAGAGTGGATATTAAGAAGCTTTTTTTCATCTGTCTGAAGGAGGATAATGTTGGGAATTGACCAAAACATTTAAACATGTAGGCCACAATAACCAAGCTGAAAATAGATGAGAAATTCTCCAACCTCAAATAGGACATTTGCTAGTCAATTCCTGTCATTTCCTTGTAAGTATCCTGATGGCGTGCCATGGTAAGTAGTCACACTGGTTTAGTACAGTTAGTACAATTTATCTGGGTCCCCCTATGTGCCTGTGGCGAAATGCTGCTTCAGGTTATACAAACTAAGCAGGGCTATGCTCATTGGCTGAGCACACACTGAGACATTGACTGCGGACCTGCATCATTCAGGCTTAGCTATATGGAGACATTCAGTTTATCCTGCTGGACAAGAATAGATGTGCCCTGGGGGAGAAAGATAAGTTTTAGTGGTTCTGGTGCATGTAGTGTTCTTTTAATTGAATAACACTAATAAGAATAAGACTAAATTCCCCTCATACAGGACAATTGCTACTTTAAAACCATTTTTGGAAAAATGGCATCCAAACTAGATTCTCACATCTTGCAAATATAAAAAATAATGGAACCATGACATGAAGGAAGATGAGAGAAAAAAAAGAATAGTGAAAATGAGGGGGCATTCCAATGGGAAAGTTAACGGTTTCTGCATCATTTGATCGTGTCCAGAGTGAGTAAAATGCCTTCTAGGTTATTATAATTTATAAAGCACCAACAAATTTCGCTTTGCTGTACAATGGGTAGACTAACAGACAAGTATATGTGACCAGATGAGTTTGACGCACAGGAACAGAGGGATTGAGTGCCCTGCTCAATGAGCTTACGTGCTAGATAGAGTGGGGTATAGTGACACCAGGTAAGTGTAGGGTAGAAAAGTAGGTTGTTAGAATAGTATGTTCTGAGGGCTTAGTGGGGGTTTTTTGTTTGTGGTTTTTTTTTTTTTAAATGACAGTTGTAGCAGAGGAATCCGGTTGAGGGAAGGAAAAGTTATTAGTTTAATTGATATGCTTTCCTTGAAAAGTGGGTTTTCAATGTTTTTTTTTTGAAGGAATGGACACTGGGGGAGAGTCTAGTGGAGGGTGAAGGCAGGCATCAGAGGTAGGTGTATGAACAGAGGATAGAAGCAGTCACCTGGGCGGGACATGCTTGTGTATTAGGAAGGATAGGTAGGTTGGAGCAGCATTATGTAGAGATTTGTAAGTACTAGAATGTTAAATTGTGCCCTATATCTAACGGAAAGCCACTGTAGAGATTGACAAAGGTCAGAGGTGCGAGCGGACAGGAACATGAGCCTCACCGCCAAATTCATTATAGACTGTAATGAGGCAAGTTGGGAACACATAAGACCACTGAAAAGCGGATTGCAGTAGTCAAGGCGAGAGAGGATAGCGGTGTGAGCCAGCACATTAGTTGCGTCCTGGTTACATGCTATGTTTTTGATATGGAAGTGACAAGATTTGGTGATCAATTGGATATGAGGGATGAAGGAGAGGTCGGAATCAGAGAGAACACCTAGGCACCGAGCCTGCAAGATAGAGCTGGTGGTATCACGGTTGACATGGAGGGAGGGAGACATGGGAGTAGCAGCACTTAAGTGTTACTTTGGTAACATCCATTTAAAAACCTTGAGAAGTGTGGAATCTAGACTGGAGCATGTCTAGTTAGATTCAAGGAAATCTGTCAGTTCTGTCAGACACAACTCTCTCAAGGATCGTGGAGGCAAGCAGCAGCTGCAGCAGCGAGATTGGGTGGTAGTTAGGCTCAAGGTTGGATTTTTTCAGAATCGGGGTTACGGTTGCATGTTTGTAGGGTGAAGGAAATGTGCAAGAGGAGAGGGGGAGATTAAAAATTATAGTAAGAGGCAGAGACAGAGTGTGCATGAGATTCGAGGTGGTGGGGCGGGAGGACCGGAGCAGAGCAGAGATCTCTTCCACTGTAGTGGGTGCGAATGAGCATAAAACGACAAAAGGGAGTATGATACTATGTGGAAAACGGTTTTCCACCAGACCTGTTTTTGTAGGTAACGTTTGTTGTGTACCCCGTCTCATTTTGATATGATGGACCACACATTTGTCAGCCCCCTAACATCAATCACAGCTAAAAAAGGATTGGACAGACACATATAACTGATAAAATTGTTCAGACCCTAAGGACATCTTTTTAAATCTGTTTGGAACCAAATCTTTCCCAAATTACATCCAAAATTAATTCAAGAGGTCATTGGTTTTTAATTTGTGTTATTGACATGGAGACTTGTTTTGAAAAAAAATCTCTAAAATTTGGATTCATTAAAGGGACAGTATAGTCACCCAGACCACTTAAGCTCAATGAAGTGGTCTAGGTGCCAGGTCCCCCAGGTTTTAACCCTGCAACTGTAAACATAGCAGTTTCAGAGAAACTGCTATATTTACATTGCACGGTTAATCCAGCCTCTAGTGGCTGTCTTCCTGACAGCTGCTAGTGGTGCTCCTGCCAAATAAATGCTTTCCTATGGACTGTTTGAATGCGCGCGCGGCTCTTGCCCCGCATGCGCATTCCGGTCCATTCGGGAACTGACATCGGAGGCGGAGTTTAACCCCTTCAGCGCCAAGGGAGGGGGGCCCTGAGGGTGGAGGGGACCTAAGGGTTATATAGTGTCCGGAAAACAAGTTTGTTTTCCTGACACTATAGTGATCCTTTAATATTTGTCTAATCTAGTGACTAGAAATAATACTGTTACTGGTTATTTACTAAATTTGAAGTGAATGTAAGTTCAAAATATCTAAACTGGAAACATTCTCTGAGACAGCTATGCTTTCACTTCGACTACCTTGGCCTTAAATTTGAAAAATCACTTTGGTAATTTCCAAGTATAAGATCTGAAGTGCAGGCAAAACTGTAGCCTGCAGATGGCGCTCAGGCAGCACGTACAAGAATCAAATTAATGACTGCTTAGTATTATTAGAAAACCTTAAACTAACCTTTTATGATCACTTTGGTAAGAGTTCTAACAAAAGTGGATTTTTTCTATACATTGTGATTACAAAACGGCTAGAAATTATATAGATTAAAAAAAAAGTATTTCTTATCTCTTCAGGTCCTCCGTTAAACTGACAAAATAGAAAAACTGTAAAACTGTTCAACACAAGAGAATGTATTTTTATTATTTTATTATTTACATAGCGCCATCAGATGCCGTAGCGCTGTACAATGTATGCTCTTTTTCCAGCCCATGCTGATTATGGTATCACACAATGCATATTTAGTTACATATGACAAATGCAGCATTTGTGACACGCCAATGCATTGCAATGGTCATCACGACACAAGTAAATCTTTTTATCTGTACATTTGCTGAAAATTTTACTTGGAAAGAGTTAAGTACAGGCTGATGTAATGATACTTACCTAGGGGACATGTCTCGAGTCCCCATAAGTAATCCGAAAGCCAAATGAAGAACGTCTCCATCTGGCAGTTGGGAAAGGATGCATAAATATCCAAATAGAAAGGTGAAATCATCTAACTGCACATAACTTATTAATGGCCATTGAAGGGACTATCAGGTCCCGAACACCCTAGCGACGCCTAAGGAGACCCCCTGTCTTGGGCAGCAGATACAGGTGGACACACCTGGAAGATCGTATTGGGAAATATCATGATCCTGTAGAAGCACACAGAGGAGTCTTTTTTACTCATGCAGACCTGGATAAGCCACAGCTTCTGATTACTTCATCCTCTACAGGACAGATATCAGCCAGAATATTGGTGAGATCTATCCAAACATTATTTTGATGGGAGATACATAACTGCCAATTGGTGGGACTGTAAATATTAATATTTTTTCTAATTTTTTTCACTTTTTCTTTTTGTTTTTGTTTTTTACATATTGTGTATTTTTAAATTTTTCTCTTTTGCATTTTTTCACGGATGGATATATATTTGGTCTCCCTGCCAGAAAGAATATCTGATCCTGATTGTATAGAGGGTTCTCAACTAAACAGTGCAAACAGGCACTAGTACTACTGACATTGTCGGACTTTATTGGGCTATATTTATTTTGTGCTAGGTGTATCAAAGATAACCACAATGGTTATGGTAGAATGAGGTGTATATAACCTGTTGTAGAAATTACATTGTTTTAAGTGATTTATCTCACTTTATGATAATAGTGCACTGTATAGTATTGTTATTCTCTACGTGACATTTTGCTAATACATGCACTTTAAAAGTTTTTTTAAGCACTTTATGATTACAGTGCACTTTACAGTATTATAATTTTTTTTGTTATATATATCTAAATATATACTACTGGATGTTTCTAGGTCCCAATGTTTATATTTTGTAGTGGACTATTTAAGATCCGGACGTTCTCCAAGTTCCAGATCATGGGACTGAAGAGGAATAACTCATTGACATCACTAGAACGCATGTGTGAAATCGGGTGGAATGCAAAAGGATATGATGTTCCTGAAACGCATTGAAGTGTGTCTTGCAACGCTTACACGAATGGACACAGCATTAGGACATTGACGCTAACCACTTGTAGGTGGAGGCGAAGGAGGAAACCGATTGGGACAGTGCAATTGGTTAATGAAGGAATAAATCCCCGGAGAGTAGACGCGACGCCCATTTAACCACCAATGGCCTTATGGGATGGTCTTATATAATGGGAACGTTTGCGGGGGAGGAAATCAGGCTGCATTTGATTGTGTTTTATTAAGAAATGTCCCTGAAAAAGTTCTTGAATAAGAAAATGCTTAGGACTGGGCCTATCTTGGCATTGTTTTATTTATCATCATTCGTCATTCAAATAAATAGTTTTTGTATCTACCTTGATTCCTAACTTCTTTTGGGTCCTGAAAATGTATACCTGAAAATGTAGGTTTGGGACAAGTCAAATGGCAATGCCCCCCGCCCCCCTGACAGACAGTCACATACATACATACATACAGACAGACACAGCCACACATACATACAGACAGACACATATATATATATACACACATGACTTACCGAGACACACACATACAAAGACAGACAGACACATAAACACATACATACAAACCAAAACATACATATACAAAATGTTTTTCACCCTCCTGTTTCCTACCTTTTAGGTGCAGGAGGGTGACTTTCCCTGGGGTCCAGTGGCGTCCTCTCACTGATAGCTGGAAGGAGTGGGGCAGTCACTTCCTCCCAGCTGTGATGTCATCACAGGGGGCCCAGTCGCACTGTTAAAGTGCCGCAGCTCTGACTGGGACCTCCTGGAAATTCATCCATGCTGTTAGGGGCACCTGATGGACCCCTTGAATGTGTGGCCCCGGCGGTTTACTGCTCGGGCCGGGACCGTGCTTGAAATATATGGAGATGGGCGCCCTGTGACCACGTTATGAATGCCACTCCGTAAAGAAAAAAAAAAACAACTTTCGCCTACAAGTAAAATGACCACTAGACGTCCCTATAGCAATTGCAGTAAAAAAAAAAAAAAAACTCATGAGCTACCAGAAATAGGATCAAAGGGAGGCCAAGGCACTTGTGCAATGAACAAAGCCAAAACTGAAGTGACACAGGGAAGAGGGTCATCACTGTAAAGATGAACAAAAGAAGGGTGGTAGAAGTGCAGAGAGGCTGTGCACAAATCAGGGAGATGTACAAAGTGGAAAGGACAAGGAGAGTGGGCAGAGCGTGCTCTAAAAAAAATGGGGAAAAAACAAAATCCTGAACGAGTAAACCATAAAAACTACCGTTATTATCACTAGGCAATATATTATTATTATTGCCATTTATATAGCGCCAACAGATTCCATAGTGCTTTACAATATTATGAGAGGGGGGATTTAACTATAAATCGGACAATTACAAGAAATCTTACAGGAACGATAGGTTGAAGAGGACCCTGCTCAAACGAGCTTACAGTCTATAGGAGATGGGGTATAAAAGACACTAGGACAGGAAATAGCAATCAAATATGGTGGGAGTGAAGCAGAGCTGGAGGAGAGAGTAAAGTGCTGCCCTTTAGGAGAGAGCAAAAGACAGGTATGTGAGGTAGAGATTACTCTAGGAGGCCATAAGCTTTCCTGAAGAGATGGGTTTTAAGGCACTTCTTAAACAATTAAAGACTAGGGGAGAATATGGTGGCGGTAGGCAGGCTATTCCATAGGAAGGGAGCCGCCTGTGAGAAGTCCTGCAAGTGTGAGTTGGCCGTCCGGGTGCGAGCAGCGGACAGGAGAAGGTCACGGGTAGAGTGGAGAGATATAAGAGGGTTGTAACGGATCACCTGGCATCCCGACTAGGTACCTCCGTTGAAGGATGCTCCTAGCGCTTCCTGAGGGCTCCAAGCACTCCAGCCGACACCATAACCACCGTAGACTCCTTCAGAGAGCAAGACAGGAACAAGCTCTTAAAAGAGCTTAGTAGTGATATAGCAAGAGAGTATGCCTAGCCTAGCAATCCCTTGTAGTGATATAGCAATTCCCCCAATAAGAGACAAGACTCTAGATTAAGGGTGAAGAAGAACTCCAGCTTTTAATCAAACACTCTGCTTTTATGCCCATTTTGCACACATAGTATCCGAAGAGCCAATTTAAAGTTGCAACACTGCTCCAAAGTAATTAAAGGGCCAGAAACAGCATTATAAAAATCCATTATGCCCAAATCAGTTCCTTAAAGGGCAATACATCCCAGGGCCATAGTCGCAGGGCAGTAGGCTGGCAAACAGGCCCCTCCAAAAACCAGTGGCGAGGTCACTTTCGCCACATATCTCCCCTTTGGGGGGGGTAGAATAACCAGGTACCTGACCTTCTGTCGGTTGGTGCCTGAGTTAGTCGGGCAACCCACCCACAACAGCAAAGTACAAGAAGAGCCCCCCACAACAAACGGGTATTTGGGGGACAGAGGCCCGCTTCGCTCTGCCTCGATGTTAGCTCTTCTGCTGGGGCAGCTGGGTTAGGCCTTGGCTGGGGAGGGGAAATAGTACTTAGCCCCTCCTCCTGGTGTTCCTGCAAGGGTAGTTGGGGATCTGGACAGGCTGACCAGCATCCCTGTAGGTCGGGTGCAGAGACCACGCTCCCACCTGTACCGTCTGGGAGATTAGTGTCTCCCCTTTGTGAGTTAAGCTGCCGCTGGGGAGGAAGACCGGTTGTCTTCTCTCCCTGGAACTCACTCTGCCGCTGGGGAGGAAGGACGGGAACTTTGGCTCCCTGGGGGGCACACTGCCGCTGGGGAGAGAGCCCGGTTGTCTCCTCTCCCTGGAACTCACTCTTCTGCTGGGGAGGAAGGACGATACCTTCGGCTCCCTGGAACTCACACTGCCGCTGGGGAGGAAGGGCGACACCTTCGGCTCCCTGGAACTCACACTGCCGCTGGGGAGGAAGGGCGACACCTTCGGCTCTCTGGGACTCACACTGCCGCTGGGGAGGAAGGATGGCACCTTCGGCTCCCTGGGACTCACACTGCGCTGGAGACTGGGTGTCTGTAACGGACCGTTTAGCATAAAAGGGGAAAAAACCGCTTAGACGATAATCCCCCTTTCAGAGACAGGCACAGCTACTGTAGAATCACCAAAACTCACGAACCGCCAATAAGTGAATGCTCCAAACTCCCGAACGGCATACAAGGGAATAAGGTAGCACTTCAAATAAGCGAACAGGAACCATACGAATAGCTGCTAGTAGGCGAACAGGAAAAGCTTCCAAGCGGCTTACACTCCTGGCAATCAGTCTCTAACAGCATACAGTGAATCCCCCCAAGAACGAGACAAGGCTCCGTGTTGAGGGTCAAGCAGTGGTCTGTTTAATGAGGGCTACCTGCCCAGCTTTTATGCAGGTCTCCCACCTGGTGGACACTCCCCTAGGGGACCAAATGGGAGACTGTGACAAGGGACAGACAAGTATACAAAAAGGACACACAGTCACAGTATATTCCCACAATGCATCATGGCTTCCTCCCCTCTGCCCTGGGAGATAATTGGGAAGTAACTCAATTATCTCCCAAGACAAAGGCAAAACTCCATTACACATGTGGGAACACAAAAACAGCATTATACTTTAAAATACATAGAGTAACATTTACCACATTAAACACAGGTATGTAACACATCCCCAGATAGCTCAGGTCTGAGTGCACATTATTAGGTGAATGGCACTCAGACTACACGAATACAGTTCAATCGCCATGGAGCCAAAGTCTTTACAGTCAGTTTCATACGAATGGGCTCCATGGGATTCCTATCTGGGGTATAAGACATTCACACAAAAATACCGAACACCGGGTCATTCGTGTGCTTTCACCGAACAAGAAGGGAGGTCGGCGGCTTCAGCGGTGTTCGCGCAAAACTGTGTCCGATTTTAGTTCCATGAAAATAGAGGCGAACACCGCTGTTCATTCGTATGGTTTAAAATGGCCGCGACCTCGTGTTCGGGATACGAACGGCGGCCACCCAGCGTTCATCAATTAAGCTGCGGTTAACCGCAGCTTCAGGGAGGTTAATTGCCGGCACACTCCAGCTCCCAGGTGGTCCAGTCATTCGTACGGTTGTTCGGTAGATTGAAACTACCGAACAACCGGCAGAAAAGCATGAATATGGCTTTTCTGCATGGAAAAATAAAGTCTTTTAAAAGGGGGCCATAGTCCAAAGGCAGCAGGCGAGCAACCAGGCTTCTCCAATGCAATGTGGCGAGATTGGTCTCGTCACAGTGTCCATATCCTCAACCTCCACAGTTTTTGCTCAAAGTCCATTGCCGCATGGTTCTCAGCACTCAACTGGCGCATTACTTGGAAGACCACCTCGTTCGAAGGGTCTGGGCCATACCAGACCAACCGCCTCTTTACCTCCTCAAGGTAAGCGTCGCCCTCGTAGCAACGTATCAGGTTGAGGTTGCTCTTCACAGGGTTCTATCCAGGGTCTTGCCCACTCCATGCTGCTGTAGGTAAGGACGCTGCGCAGTGGCTAGCGTTGCCCTAAATAACCTCTCATATGATACCAGTCAGTGTCTCCAGGGTGCTGCTCCTTGCGCTAGGACGCCATCCCACAGCTTGCCACCAATGTAACGGATCACCTGGCACCCGACTGGGTACCTCCGTTGAAGGATGCTCCTAGCACTTCCTGAGGGCTCCAAGCACTCCAGCCGACACCATAACCATCGTAGACTCCTTCAGAGAGCAAGACAGGAACAAGCTCTTAAAAGAGCTAAGTAGTGATATAGCTAGAGAGTATGCCTAGCATAGCAATTCCCCCAATAAGAGACAAGACTCTAGATTAATGGTGAAGAACTCCAGCTTTTAATTAAACAATCTGCTTTTATGCCCATTTTGCACACATAGTACATCCCACAGGGTTTTGCAGAACAACCAATCAATACGTACAATACACTCAGACACTCCCAGCAATTACACACAAAATCCTCCCCTCTGCCTGTGATACAATTATCTCAACACAATAGACTAACTTAATTATCACAGGCAGAAAATATACAGTTTTAACCAAATAATAACTTCCAAATTATACACGCCGTTCACATAAAACATATATTTCCAGAAATTCCAGAAACATAGACATACTCAAAAATCATACAAAGCCCTCCAGTATTTAAAAAGTTAGCTGGGAGTCCTTTATGCCCAAAATAGTTCCATGGATTTGGGTCTATTTTACACTGAGAAAATGACTAAGTCCCATTCTAACGAGCGTTCGAATCTTCGAACTGGACTTAGTCTCCAGCCACAGTGTCGAAGTAGAGGAGAAGGTACGGGTCAGCGGCATTCGTGCAATTGGGTAGCCGAAAACAGTTCCATAGATGTGGCTGCACACACCGCTGACCGCGTCCAAATGAGTTAAAATGGCCGCTGCCACATGTTCGTTTGTCGAATGGCGGCCACTTCGACTACTTCGGCACTTCGGCTGTTTTCGAAGTGCCAATTTAAAGTTGCAACACTGCTCCAAAGTAATTAAAGGGCCAGAAACAGCATTATAAAAATCCATTATGCCCAAATCAGTTTTAATGTTTTAATGCTAAACAAGAGTCCCCGGCAATCCATCGCTTCTGTGCTGCTTTGGCTAATAAGGAAGTATTAGCCTGAGCAGCAATAGGCATATGTGATTGGCTGAGAGTGTCAGCTGACTGCTTTTAGCCTGTCAGAGTTCCCTGTCAGAGTTCCAACTGACGGTATGAATGGGTATGACAACGAGGAAGTGTGTAATCTCTGCCTTAGCTACACATACTGAAGGGGCCGGACTGTGGGTGGCCAGGGACTCTTATTTTGTGGCATACTGCACGAACATGGTGCAACACTGAATGGAGGGACAGTGCCAGGGCACTCCAGGCACCAGGCCCGGACTGGCCATCGGGCACACCGGGCAAATGCCCGGTGGGCCGCGGTGGCCGTGGGGCCGAGGCCGGCAGGGGAGGTCCCAGGATCTCCCCTGCCGGTCTATGCAGGGCCGGCACTCTCCGAGCGCCGGCCCCGCTGTTTGCCACAACGGGCCGTGGGGAGATCAAGGATCTCCCTCACCGGCCCACATGCGGCCGCCGGCGGGCAGAGAGGGAGGGAGGGAGCCAGCCAGCCAGGCTGGAGAGAGGACCCGGCGGAGCTCTAACTTGCAGCTCCGCCGGGTTCCTCTCGCAAGATCCGGCGCGTTGCCATGGCAACGACCGGATCTCGCGAGAGTGAACTCTAGCCTCACAGGCTATGCGGGCTAGAGTTCACTCACCCACGAGGACCACCAGGGAACACCGCCTCCCCGCCTGCCAGCGTGCCGGACCCCCCCTCCCAGGCTAAAGGTAAGAAGGGAGGGGGGGGGGAATAATGACTGTTTTTCTGTTTTGTTTTTTTTTAAATTTTATTTACCCCCCCCTACACATACAATAACATTTATACAGCACTCTCACACCCATCACACACAGCACTGTCACACCCAGCACTCTCACACCCAGCACTCTCACACCCATCACACCCAGCACTCTCACACCCAGCACTCTCACACCCATCACACACAGCACTCTCACACACACACAGCACTCTCTCACACAGCACTCTCACACGGCACTCTCACACCCATCACACACAGCACTCTCTCACACAGCACTCTCACAGCACTCTCTCACACAGCACTCTCACACCCATCACACAGCACTCTCACAGCACTCTCTCACACAGCACTCTCACACGGCACTCTCACACCCATCACACACAGCACTCTCTCACACAGCACTCTCACACCCATCACACTCACAGCACTCTCACAGAGCACTCTCTCACACCCATCTCACACAGCACTTTCACACACACAGCACTCTCTCACAGCACTCTCACACCCATCACACTCACAGCACTTTCACAGAGCACTCTCACACAGCACTCTCTCACACCCATCTCACACAGCACTCTCACACACGGCACTCTCACACCCATCCCGCACCCTTACACACACACATACTGCACCCCTCACATACACACAGAACCCCCCCAACACACTGCACCACACACATACACAATACTTCCAAATATATATATATATATATATATATATATATACACATACACACACACACACACACACACACACACACACACACACACACACTACACTCTTAAAGGACCACTTTAGCCACCCAGACCACTTCTGCTTAATGAAGTGCTCTTGGTGCCAGGTCCTTCTAGGGTTAACCCATTGTTTTATAAACATAGCAGTTTATCAATGGGTTAAGCCTTCCCCCAAAGCCTCTAGCCGCTGTCTTATTGACAGCCGCTAGAGGCGCTTCCGTGCTTTTCACTGTGAAAATCACAGTGAGAGCACGCAAGCGTCCATAGGAAAGCATTATAAATGCTTTCCTATGCGACTGGCTGAATGCGCGCGCAGCTCTTGCCACGCGTGCGCAGCCGACGGGGCGGATCGGAGGAGGAGAGCTCCCCGCCCGGCGCTGGAAAAAGGTACGTTTTCCAGAGCCGGGCGGGAGGGGGTCCCTGAGCCACATATGCATCACATTACACCACAAACACAACACGACTAAAACCGACCTTATTACACAATACCACACCACGACCAGCTCACTCTACACACATGCAATACCACAAGCAGGCTCCAAACACATGCACAATACTCTGTCCTGGCCTTTTGTCTCCTGGTATCCATTTATAGAGACACCAGAGACAAGTTGCAAGGAAACACAGTGCAAGCATGTTATTAAATTTGCTTGCACTGTGCAGAACAAATACAGGACTTTTTTCTCTTGCTAGAGCTCTTCAGCAGAGCTCTGCGCATGGTCTGCCCTGGAAGAGCATTGAACCAACATGCTCACTTTGAGAGGAGGCGTGTTTGTCATTGGTGATGACAAAACACACCTCCTCTGCCCCGCCCCCTTTTTAGTGGGCCGCTGTGTTAAAAAAATGCCCGGGCCAAATTTTTCTCCCAGTCCGGCCCTACCAGGCACTATAACCAATTCAAAGAGATGAAATGCTTATAGTGACTACAGTGTCCCTTTAACAAAAAAGTCAAAGAATGAACATAAAATAACAAGGCTATAAAAGCACAAACTTTAAAAAACAGAAGATCAGGATGGGAGATATAGTTATTAATTAGGTAGTGAGAATATAGGGAGGTAAGTAAAAAAAGAACACAATTTTAAATTAAGAAATAAAGGGAAACAATAAGTAGTACATGTAATCCTTGAATAGATCTTCCAGAGATGATACCTCTGCTTAGGCTTTTCTGCAGGGCTTGGTAGCTTGTGAGTACTGAGTGTTGATAATCAATGCTGTTATTAATCATTGAAATTCCAAAGCAATACATAAATATCACAAAACAAAGTAGGGACAACGTTTTCTTATGGTAAATCCTGAGGCTGACAAAAAGGCAGAGCTTTGCTGTTAAAGGACCACTATAGTGCCAGGAAAACATACTCGTTTTCCTGGCACTATAGTGCCCTGAGGGTGCCCCCACCCTCAGGGTCCCCCTCCCGCCCGGCTCTGGAAGGGGGAAAGGGGTAAAAATTTACCTTTTTCCAGCGCTGGGCGGAGAGCTCTCCTCCTCCTCTCCGCCTCCGTTACGCCCCGCCGGCTGAATGCGCACGCGCGGCAAGAGCTGCGCGCGCATTCAGCTCGTCGCATAGGAAAGCATTTACAATGCTTTCCTATGGACGCTTGCGTGCTCTCACTGTGAAAATCACAGTGAGAAGCACGCAAGCGCCTCTAGTGGCTGTCAATGAGACAGCCACTAGAGGATTAGGGGGAAGGCTTAACCCATTCATAAACATAGCAGTTTCTCTGAAACTGCTATGTTTATAAAAAAATGGGTTAACCCGAGCTGGACCTGGCACCCAGACCACTTCATTAAGCTGAAGTGGTCTGGGTGCCTAGAGTGGTCCTTTAACCTTTATCCAATACCAGCAGCCATCACAAATTATGGATGTGAGGTTTAGGCTCTATCTATGGAGGGTCTCGCAGGATCTTCCATAGACCTTAGTATTTTACTATTGCGAATGCGCAACAGTACAGCCGTGATGTGGCTCCTGGCAACTGAATCATCAGGAGCCGAATAGGACAGCAGCATGAAGATGCAGCGGCTACAAGGGACAGTCTGGGCTAAGTAAAACTCACCTCCCTTGCACCCTGTGGCCACTGGACCCACATCCACTTGAATGGTGTTCTAATTTGGAACATTCCAATATTAGCATTCACATAATTATATTATCTACAGAACGTTATCTCCTAGGTTGAATTTAGACTGCAGAATGTTTTCACAGCTGCTGCAATCAGCAGGGGAAAGAGGCCAATAAACCTTGATCAGGGACATGGACTTCACTTCTGATATTATGCAAGCCAGCCTGTCTGATGCAGACTTTCACTGATCCTTTTGCAAGTATACTGCTTGGGAAATGCTAGTGTAGACTAGGAGTTCATTTCTGTAAAATTCAAATGCAATTAATAAAAGTATTTCATAAAGAAACTATCTTTCCAAAAAAACTCAAAAAATGATAGCGCTACTTTAAAGGAACATGCAACCTCTTTACTATTAAAACTTAATAGGTATTTCATAAAGATACTATCTTTCCTAAAAACTCAGAAATTACAGTACTGTTTTAAGAAACATTGCAAGCAACATAACCACTACATCCCACTGTAGTGGCTATGGTGCCAGGAGTGCCCTTAGAAAACTGCTGAAAAAAATTATATATTTGTAGAAAGTACATCCCCCAGTCTATTTAACTAACTAATTAAGAACATCAAACTCTTTCAAATCTGTGGATTGTACTTTTTTTCCATGGGTGATTTCACAGACCATCGTTGCCCTTCTACTGTAAAGACGCCATAATTGTATTATGCTACTGTGCTGGTGCACAAAGATTCTCCAGATGTATATCTTTACCAGGAGTTTGAAAGAATGTAGGGTCAAATAACAGACATGCCCGAACTTTGACAATGCCTGAACTTTGACATGCCTCTTTTCTTAATTACTAGGTATGTGATTTAGTGACACCCAGGGCCGTATTAACATAGGGGCTGATGGAGCTGCAGTTCCAGGCCCAGGCCCATGGAATAGGTCCATTGACTAAAAAAAATTAAAAAAAAAAATAGTATTTCTCATGTATTTCTTATGGTTGCCAGGTATTTCTCAAAAGTATTTCTCAGGTATTTGAGGCTGCCTAGCCGGTGCCGGTATTGCAGTAATACCAGCAATACAAATGGTTGTCTAAACAAAGATTATTCTGCAATACCAGCGCCGGCCAGTAGGGGTCGCTGTTTGTGTGGAGCGAGGCAGGGACAAGAAGTTACAGCATCTCCCTCCCTGCCTCTCTCTACACAATGATCCGCGGGGGAGCAGCTATGCATAGAGAGTCCAGACAGCAGCTCTGAGCCTGCGAGACATGGGGACGGTGAGAGACTTGGGGACACTGAGACATTGGGACACTGGGAGACATAGGGACACTGGGGAACATGGGACCCTGAGACACTAGGGACACAGTGGCCCCATGTCTCCCAGTGGCCCCTAGTCTCTCAGTGTCCCCATGTCTCCCAGCCAGTGTCCCTCATGTCTCAGTGTCCCCATGTCTCACAGTGTCCCCGGTGTCTCTCAGTGTCCCTTGTGTCTGTGTCCCTAGTCTCCCAGATTCCCCTAGTCTCCCAGAGTCCCCTAGTCTCTCCCAGAGTCTCAGTGTCCCAATGTCTCTAAGTGTCCAATAGTGTCATCGGAACACTTTGAGACATGGGGACATAGACTCTAAGGGTCACTGGGAGACATGGGGATACAAACAATAGGGGACACTGGGAGACATGGGGACACTGGGACACTAGGGGACACAGAGACATGGGGACACTGAAAGACACAGGGAGACATGGGGCATTCCCAGTGTCCCCATGTCTCCCAGCCAGTGTCCCTAGTATCTCAGTATCCCAATGTCTCCCAGTGTCTCTCAATGTCCGTAGTGTGCCAGTATCCCTAGTGTCTCAGTGTCCCCTAGTATAAAAGAAAAAATCTCAGGCACTCACTGTGATAGATTTAAGCAGGTCTTTATCAAGTCTCCAGTATCCCCTATGTATCACAGTGTCCCCTATGTATCAGAATGTCTCAGTGCTCCATGTCTCCCAGTGTCCCTATGTCTCTCCCAGTGTCCCTGTCTGTAGTGTCTCAGTGTCCTTAGTGTCTCGGTGTCCCCTAGTCTCTCAGAATCCCCTAGTCTCCCAGTGTCCCCATGTCTCACAGTGCCCCCAAGTGTCTCAGTGTCCCCTAGTATAAAATAAAAAAAATCTCAGGCACTCACTGTGATAGATTTAAGCAGGTTTATTGGTCACTGCAACGTTTTGACCTGTACCGAGGTCTTTATCAAGTCTACAGTGTCCCCTATGTATCACAGTGTCTCAGTGCCCCATGTCTCCCAGTGTCCCCTCGTGTCTCAAAGTCACCCAGTGTCCCCGTGTCTCTCAATGTCCCCTAGTGTCCTAGTCACAAGGGGACACTGGGATACATGGGGACACAGACATGCCCCCTTTTTGTGTATGTTTGCCCCTTTCGGCAGTTCTGGTTATGTGATTTGTGTCAGTGCCCACCCTTTTACCCCATCAATAGACTTCCTTCTTTACTGGACACTGCTATTAGGGGGTATTGGTTTACTTGAAAGATGAAAGCGTGAGATTAGCATAGGGTATGTGTTTTCTCATAGCTGCATCCTATGAGTTTCCCTCCAGCACCATCTCCATCACATACATGATGCTTAGGAGGTAGGACTGTTTTAGTGTTTTTGGTCAATAAGATTTTGTAATTAGGCCCATCATAATTGTCAGCACCAGGCCCACTGGGCTCTTAATCTGGCCCTGGTGACACCTAATCCTACCTCTAACCCCAACACCAACCGTAACCATATCTCAGAGGGATTCATCTGCAGACGTAGCTGCAGAGCCATGCCCCA